CGGGCGGCGAGGTCCAAACACCGCAAGGCGCGCGTGCCCGCCACCGCCCCCTCTGGCCGCGGAGAGCATTGCGTGGCCTGGTGGAAGCGGGAAGAACACCGCCAGAATAGTTATTTTTTTAAAAAAGCAACAATGTCGTTGAGTGCCTTTGCTTCGTGGAAAGGAATGAGGGGAGTTTAAGCCAGCCGAAGCATTAAAAACGGTATTTGCTGTACAAGTAAATTCCTCTTGTTTTCAGTGGGGCTTACTCCCCTGTAAGTGCAGGCAGGATTTGCAGCTTTATTAGTTACAACACCAACAAGAGTCAACATTGAAGCAAGCTCTCCTTTTCTTTGGCAGGTTAAGACACAGCAACAGCTTCACTCGCCCTCTAATTCAGTGCTTTCCAAACCTGAGTAAGTTACCCAAAATTGGGTAAAAGTGTTTTTTGGGGGGGGGGGTAATGACACATGAACCCATTACCCAATCACGACAGGGACATTTAAGTTGGCTTCAAGATTGCCACGTGTACTGAAATATATTGGAAAATCTCCCAGAGTATTCCTATTAAGGCAAAAATTGATCAAACTACCAGTGGTAATTTGTGGAAATGACATAAAGATCATTCGGTGAAACTGTTTTTGTAATACAGGTAGTCCTCGAGTTACGACTTTTGTTCAGCGACAGTTTGAAGTTAGGGTTTTGGGTAATGAAGGCAAAGGTTTGGGAAGCACTATATAACCGGTGTGTTTTGGTTGGTCCCTCCAGGGTCCAGGCTAGATTCCACAGGAAGGTGCAGTAGCTGTTCTCAGAGGGCTAGAAGTGCTGCTCCCTCACCTGTGCTGTTGAGTGACTGCAGTTCCCAGAGTTTTTGGCCTCGTCAAGTTAGGGAAGACAAGGATTTTCTGACTTAGAGGCCCTGGTGCAAACAAATGGATGCTCTCGAATCAGCCACCGATGCTACTTCACAGGGTGGTTGAAATTTTAAGGGAGAAAGGGCTGAGGTGGAACCAAGCTTGCTTTATCTTGGGACCTGTTGCAAACAAAGGCCCTGCTATTCCCGCCGACAACCGATGCCTTTTACGTCAAAAGCGTCCCCTTCATCCAACTTAGGAGGAACATCTGGCTGAAGAAAGTTGTGTGTTTGCATACCAACACTCCTAAAGGGTGAGATAGAAAACCCAGTTTAGAGGGACTCATACTGCCGAAAGCTGGACCCTTTGCATCTAACTGTATGAGTTACAAGTTAAAGAAATGTTAGTTATGCAAGAATAGTTTTAACAATACTTTGAGATAGGCAGCTCCTAGGACCATGACTTAAAAGATGTTTTATCTATGTCCCTTTTCCCCCTTCTGTTAAAATAAAAGATGGAAGAATTTCCGAGGAAGCTTGCCAGGGTTACAAAAGCAAGCTTTTTGAACTTCTGTGTCACTAAAAGTTCTCAAGATACTTAGCTGCCCAAATGAGTCCCTGCCAGTTTACCCCTGCCCGTGCCATTATCATAACCCAGTCCCCAAAGATGTGATCAGTGATTTTTTTCCACTTCACAAGCATCATACACTCCCATTAGATCCATTCTGATTCTCAGGAGAGTCTTCCTAAATGTTAAGTGCTTGTTTCACCTGGCTCTGACTGTTACAGAAACCCTGAAATTCAGTCAGATGAGGACCAAAGGAATAAACTCTCCTTCCCACCTCCCAATTTAAGTTTGTATTTGGTCTCCAAAGGAGATAAAAAACACTGGAATACCTACTCGGTACAGTATGATCTACTTGTTCATTTCCCCTAAAATCTCGCACCTGCAGGAGTACAACAGAAGTGAAATGAAAAATTCAACATTTGTCTTTAGAAACCAGCTTAAAACACTGGAATACCTACTCGGTACAGTATGATCTACTTGTTCATTTCCCCTAAAATCTCGCACCTGCAGGAGTACAACAGAAGTGAAATGAAAAATTCAACATTTGTCTTTAGAAACCAGCTTTCGTACACTAGGTCATTCTCACATCCTTCTCCTTTTGGAGCTTGGATCAGGTGGCAGGAAAACAAAGGGGGCCCTATGGAAGAGAGACCTACTTCAAATGGTAGATCCTGAACACTGTTGGGGCTAATGGAAGGAGAGGTGAGACAGATCCACCCTCTTTGGCTTCATTATGATTGTCTACTACCTAATGAAATGAATAGGGGTTGTCCCTAGATGAACCTTGCATTTTTCTTATTCATGTCTGGAAGGACTGCATAGGAAAAACTTTTCAGTGGCCTGTTCATTGCAGAATATAATTGCTAATTAGTCAGGGAAAATAAATTATTTGGTCTGATTGTCTGCCTTTAAGGTACAGGTAGTCCCCGGGTTACAAAGTTGCCTGGTTTACAAACGACCCATAGTGAAGAGCAGAGCCTATTGTAGCAAAATTCGAGTTAAACACACAATGGTTTGAGTTCATTACACAATACTACTTGTACAGTATCATATGCTAATACTGTTCCGGCTTATATATAAATTCAACTTAAGGACAGACCTTGGGAACGGAACTTGTTCTTAAACTGGGGACTGTACTATAGTAACTTCATCTGAAAAAAAAATAACCTGCATGATCTGAGAAAGATCACTATTTTAGGACTTTCAGTCAAGTGACTGCTAAATGCAGAGTAGCAAGGAGCAATTAAAAAGTTGACAACCATGTATGAAGTTTGGGCTTCCAAATTGCAGAAGGAAATAGACACAGCTGTATTCTTACGGAAGAAATTATTTTAATTTGGAAACAATTCTATATACTGTACTGTGAAACAACTCCTGGCTCCCTCCTCTTGCGTATATCAATTATGTCCACAAGATGTCAGGGCATCACACATTATTTAATTTCCTGAGCTCTAATAAATGAGATATTTAAGAAACACTATCAGCACATGGCACAAGGGTTACCAGTCCTATGACTTAGTCATTTAAATAAATATTTTAAATATTTTATGGAGGCCCACTGAAATCAATTTGCGTTCCATTGATTTCATTATGCCTATGTTAAGACTCATATAGCAACGCTAGTAATCAGAAAAAGATATCTAGGATAATGAATAAATGAGTAACATTTGTAGAAACTAAAAGTATATCCATAAAATATTAATATAAAACTAGCTCAAGAAAATAAAAGATATTAAATTATACACGTGTGTGTTTAAAATAAACATTACAGCAGTGTATCTAAATTAAGTTGGTGATTGAGATGTCGAAACCCTGTTTTGTTTTATGTTTGTTTTTGCATTGGATGCTCCTGGTGGAGTATAAATCTTTAAAAAAAAAAAAAAAAGAATTTTCTAGGCATCTCACTGTGCAAGGCTTTGGCCCAGACCTGTTCTGTGAGTGACACCTCCCTTGCTCTCTAAATTCATTGGTATTTTGCACTTCTAGTACAAACTCTGTGTACAACTGAATGCATTCATTAAGATTTAAAAAACAACAAATTGTAGCTTGTATAAAAGTGAAGTCCTAGGATCAAGTTGTTTTCATTATTTTATGGAAGGCAGTAACTAATTACTTAAAGATGGTGGTTTTATGTAATTTTATCACCAGCCTAATCACTTACTGGTTTCATATATTGTGCTAAACTAGGGTTTGTTTAATCATGGTTTATTGCATAAACCACAATTAGGGTTCATAAAACTCCATAAACCATGTTTTATAGATCATGGCAGGTTTGTACAACATGCTAAGCCAAAATGGAACAATCCACACTGTGGTTTAACTAATTACGTGAAGCCAACTTTAGAAATGTACTTGAAATGAAGGAATGTGCTCTACCCATGCAACCTTTCTAAAAACATTAGCATTGGGACTGGTCAGCCACCACGGCAATTCCTTCCCAATCATCAAAGCCCTTTCTAAAGGCCATGGGGCTGGAAATGTTTGCAATCTCAATGTACCTGGAACTCCCCAGATTGAAGAAGGCTGAATGAGTAACTTGAAGCAGCTGAAGATTCTGTGGTATTTTATCTTAAGAACCAAACTCTAGAATTCTCTTAAATGACCACAAATTAACTGACCACCACAGCATTACTGGTTCCACCCTCACCTACTTGCAACTCTCAAAAGTGCTTTGGAATCAGGGAAACTCCACTTCCACAAATACGTTTCCTAAGGAAACATCTTCCATTTTACTATTACCAAACGTATTCTTTGGTTCTGACACTGCAAAACGTGAGGTCAATAATTACAAAGGTTTCCCATTAGAATTGATAGAATGAGGTCACTAAAAAAAAAAAGGCAGCAAAAAATACAGCAGTTAACTTTCTCATTGATAATTTGATCTGAAATACGTTAATCAACCATGAAGCTGGAGTATTGTGATGAACTGCCATTCTACATAGAGCTTAAAACTTCTTCAACTGAGACTGCATGAAATGTTTGTATAGCAATGCAGTAGTTCAACAATGAAACCAGTTCCTTAGGGGCTGATGGGTACCTTTTCAAAGATGTGTCTAAACAGAAGCTGACAACCATCTGATGGGAATAACTTAATTTAGATTCCTGTACAAGCAAGAAATTGATGTTCTAAACTGTCTCTTTCAACTGATTCTATGATTTCATGAAGTCTTGTCAGCCCCATTAGGCAGACTAGACCAGGAAATAACTCCACAGGAAGGCTAAACCTACTTTTACTGAGATTGGCTATCTTGACAGTCTGATTGTGCTGTACCTCCTCCTCCTCCTTCAGTGAATTAGGGAGGTATCTCTCTGAGCCACTTCTGAATGTTATCTGGCCATTCTGGACTTAAAAATTGCTTCAGCCCCTTTTGCCTAGGTAACAGCTGCACATCTCCATCAAGACCATCTTCCTTACCTTCTACAAGTAGGTGTATTTGTCCCATTTTTGGCTCTGATTAGCAGGGTTTTGTGGCAGTGGAATCTTGCATCACAATGTCACATGCTGTTCACGTTCAGAATCCTAGCTGTTCCCATGTTCTTTTTCATTTCCCTGCACATCTTACAGCCAGCATACTGTATCTGTTAAAAATGGGCAGTCTACATTCAGTTTTCCCTCTTCCCCAAGGCGTTTCATTTTGTTTTTCCATTTCTGCAGACGTTAAGGGCCCCTTGAGCCTGTAAATATTATTCTTGAGTTGGGGGATAGTGCAATTTTGGCAATAAAAGGTAATCATTTCACCTATAGTATCTAGGATACACTCTAGAGTTGCACTGCATCCATTCATGGCAGTGGGGATTACACAACAGATGTTCACTACACATCAGCAATTGCAGTTCCCACTGTTCACAGACTGGGGTGTAAGTTAGATTCCTTGATATTTAGAAAAAGTGTACGGTCAAGAGTTAAATTGCCAATTTCATGAACACATCTGCACATAGTGTTGTAATTCTCAGTGGACCATACATAACTCAAGCCTCCTGAAGCTGCTTGCTTCTTTCTTCCACTCTTCTTTATTACTTGCCTTCAAGATACTTTAGATAAATATCCTCCACGTTAATGACCAGAATGAAGAAGACAGTGTATAATTTCCCAAATCAATAATAAGAAAGAATGACTAATAATGCTAATTTCATGCTCGTTTGCTGATCGGCACACCATACACCCATTGTCAAAAAACACACTTCATTTCAGTTGGGATAATCAGTACAATTTATCCACCTTTGCCTGTCTTTTGTATAAATGTGTCGTTCCAATTCCAAAGGTGGGCATTTTGAATTGATGTCGACATATTTGTCAAGAATTATAGGGATATGAGCATTAAATCCTGTTCTAGGATTGTTCTTCTGTGCATCCAGGGGAAATTAGATGATGGTCATGAAATTGCAGTGTGACACTTCTCCAGAGAAAAGAAGTGGAGAAACCATACTTTGCTTCCTTGCTATGAAAACTTGCTGTAATTCCTTCTGCATATGGAAGCAGTGTGACTGCCTCTGAAGGTCATCTGCTGGGATGGTCATCTCATGGGCTTCCTTGTGCAGTTGGTTGGCCACTGTGAGAACAGACTGCTGGGCTAGATGGGCCAGAGGTCCAATCCAGCAGGACACCGCTTATGCTCTTAATGAATGAATCGTGATGTCAGCCCCATTAAACAAACCAGGCCAGGAAATCAACTCCAGAGGATGGCTAAAACTACTTTGATTGAGATTGGCTATAATAACAGAATCTTGCCGGTCTGATTATACTGTATCTCCTCCATCTTCTTATAGTTCAGTGAATTAGGAAGCCATCTGCCTGAGCCATTTCTGAATGTGTATCTTGTTCTGGACTTCAAAAAAAAAATTTCAGCCCTTTTGCCTAGGCAACAGATCCTGCACATCTCTGTCAAGGCCATCTTCTTTATTCTCTATTTCTACTGGTACTTGGGAAGTAACAGCTAGATGCTGGAGGAGAAAGCCATGTGCCACATGGCTAGCCTTGCATCTCTTTAAATAATGCCAGAATCTTGTACATCCATCACAAGCTGATGAGTCTCAGGGTTCTACTACAAAATGAAACAGATCTCAGAAGCCTGAATTCTTCCCATCCCTCTTGTAATCCACTCACTGGTCAGAACCTTTAGAAAGTTCAACAGACGTCAGGAGGGAAAGCAGGAAGGATTCCAGAATGTTCTTTACGAGTCCGGAGTGACAGTTGAGTCAGGCAGTTGCAGAGAGGTGGAAGCTGTGCCAATTTGGAAAATCAGACAAAAAACTCCCAGGTAGAAACAAACTGAAGGAGTAGCATCATGAAGGGAGAAGGGGACATTATATATCCAGTCTGTCGGTAATTTCTGAAAGCAGTGGCACATGGAAGAAAGAATTAAGCAGTGTAGCCACTATATAGAAGGGCAAAAACAGGCTTATCAAGAGGAGGAATGAAGTTCTCAGATTTGTAATGTTAACTCAGGAGTTTTGGAGCATTTTCATATCTTTCTGCTAAACTTTTCTCCTGCTGGCCAATCCATTACAGTAAATGGCCACACAAGGCTAATGACAGATTTTCTTTCATCTGAGTTCAGCTTGTGGAGGGGAACTCATTTCAGAAGAGGGGAAATTTGCAAAAGATAATGTTTCAATGTGAGATAAGGGTTCATTACCTATAACGTGCATGTTAAACCTCCCCTCCACATCCATATGCTCTCCCTTCCATTTCATATTTCTTTCATCTCAGTAAATTGGGCAGGGTAACAAATGGTTCAGCTGAAAATCCATTCTTTTTACACAGCGTTAGCGCCAGCTTTGAAGGCCTTCTCCAGCCTTCAGTGCTTATCACTATTTTCCGTTTCCTTCTCTTCCTTTTGGAACAGTAGTGGGGCTAGATCATGTCCAGAAGACCAGGTACCATCATTTTGCCTCCAGAAAATGGCCAGATCTCCCCCAGAATGAGTGAATCAATATGATCCAGCAACAAAAGAATAATAAGTTTTACATATCCCAACCTTAAGCATATTCTCCTTCATCTCAAAGAATGAGAATTGGCAGGATAAAATGCAGGTTCTTTTGTCTGACACTAGATATGCATGCAAAACATGAGTTAATGCCTGAATAAAGCCCCATCAAACTTTGTTGGTGAAAGAATCAACACAAACTGAGGCATAATTTTGAGGCTTCTCCTCCTTACCTCAAAATCTAGTGCATTTTGATCTAAGCTGTTCTTTAGAAGAGGAACATATGCAGAGTTGGGGAGGGGAGGAGATGACTAAGAAAGACAAGGCCATACCGAATAAGAGGACAGGCTTGTTTGGGCTTTCATTAAGCTATGAACTCCTGGGTACCTAGTTGCTGTGTTCTTGAGAAGAAGAGGATGGTTGCCAAACAGAGTCAATCAGCTATGCCCTATTAATAAGTATTTGGTTATCCTTCTTAACCTGCTGAAAAATTGACCCCTCTTAATGCCTCCAGAATTAAAATGGCTTTGTAAAAATGGTCTGTGCAGGCATATTTGCCTTTATCATTGACTGCCAGAGATTTCTGTTAGTCTTCTGACTCCAAAACTTCCAGCTTTTAATTTTTTTTACAAAAAAGCAAATGAAAAGAAATGGTCATTCAAATTAACCACCTTCTCTTTTCACCATCGAAGAGAAATATGGCTGAGGACAGCAAGCTGTGGTACCTTCAGACTGACAGGATGATGATGAAGCATTATCTGTCTCCTCCTGATCTCAACCAAAGGAATAGTGAAAAGACCTTCTACCAGAAATATTCATCAAGCTTAAAAACTATGATTCCCATCCGCTTAAGAGAAAGGCAAGTTGCATGTTCTCATACTCAGAATATAGCATTGAATAAGATGTCTATGATTGGCACCACAACTCCTGAATGAGTCAATCATCTCATTTATGACCATCAGAGGCCTGATTTTACTTATCCTCATATGCTGAGATGTAGTGGATGGGTAGAGTCCTTAAATTAGCCTCATAAATTGACAGACAATTCTTTAAAAACATCATAGGTGGTCAACCTGCAGACAAGGGGTCACAAGTTCTGAACTTAATTTAATTGACCCTTGACCTAATTTCCAAAGGTCTCTACATGCTTCAAATTTAGATTTGTAAGAAGGGCAATCTGCCTCTTCCTTGGGAACCTACGAGGCAGAAGGAAGAGATGATAGAAAGGAAGAAAGAAGGATATCAAAGATGGAAAGGGAGGTCTTCCTCACTTTCAGTCCCTACCTTCTGTTTGCATTGTCTCCACCCATCATGAGCATGAGGTCTTCAACTGATTTCCCTTAACAGTAAGAAGATTACTCACCCCATTCTAAACCTTTGGCACGCAGCATTTTTCTGGCTGCTGGCCACACCTTAATTCTGAGTGTTACACAAGGAAGATGCATTCTAAAAAGTAGCCTTATGGATAGCTTTCCCCTTTGTTTCCATTAAAAATTATGATTTCCTGTTAACTGATAAGCTTTTGGTGCCTCCTCAAACTTTTTGGGGGAAACAGACTAGCACGTTGGTCTGGGCTCCTGGGTTGTGCCACCCTGTGAAAGAATATACAGCTGGTCTTCGGAATGGGGAAAGCATGGCTGAACCATTAAGGAGGGGACTTTAAAAAAAAAACAACTCA